GCAGTTTTGATAGGGAAGACAGTGATTGTGGATGGCGTTCAGCACCAAGGACAGATGTGTTTACTACTGTGTGAATGGTGTTTAGCGCTGCAACTAGAAACACGTCTGTTTGCCTGTGAATGGATGTCGTTCAGCACCAAGGACAGGTATGGTGTCTAGCAACAAGGACAGATAGTGCTCACTATACCAATGCGTGGATGGATGGCGTTCAGCACCAAGGACAGATGTGCTCACTATACCAATGCGTGGATGGATGGACGTTCAGCACCAAGGACAGATGTGCATACTATACCAATGCGTGGATGGTGTTCAGCACCAAGGACAGGTGCATTTACTACTGTGTGAATGGTAGTTAGCGCTGCACTGGAGGCAGGTCTGTTTGCCTGTGTGTGTGGATGGCGTTCAGCACCAAGGACAGGTATGGTGTCTAGCAATAAGGACAGATGTGCTTACTATACCAATGCGTGGATGGCGTTCAGCACCAAGGACAGATGTGTTTACTACTGTGTAAATGGTGTTTAGCGCTGCAACTAGAAACACGTCTGTTTGCCTGTGCATGGACGGCGTTCAGCGCCAAGGACAGGTATGGAGTCTAGCAACAAGGACAGATGTGCTTACTGTACTAATGCATGGATGGCGTTCAGCACCAAGGACAGATGTGTTTACACTGTGTGAATGGTAGTTAACGCTGCACTGGAGGCAGGTCTGTTTGTCTGTATATGGATGACATTCAGTACCAAGGACAGGTGTGTTTACCAATGCATGGATGGCGTTCAACACCAAGGACAAGTGTGTTTACTAATGTATGGATGGCATTCAGCACCAAGAACAGGTGTGTTACTTATGAGTGAATGGTAGTTAGCACTGCACTGTTTCCCTGTGTATGTATGGCGTTTAGCACCAAGTGTATTTCCTACTGTGTGAATGGTGTTTAGCACTTTACTATTGACATATCTGTTTTCCTGTGTTCGAATGGCATTCAGTACAAAGGATAGGTGTATTTTTTAATGTTTGGATGGTGTTCAGCACTGAGACAACAGCATTTGTATGTGTTTGTACTTGTGTTTATCACTAGGAACGTTTGCCTGTGTTCCTGTACGTGCGGATTACGTCTGACTAAGGACGGATGTCTGTAGGTACAGTTAATACAAAAGAAGGACATCCAGCAACAATTTATGATGACACGTTACCGTGGGATATCAGCTGGCTGTCCGTTGACATCAGGCGTGTTTTCAACCATAGTCTCGTACAAGGTTTTCTCGAGGCCCGTTCTCTTCCCAGGAGACTTCCTGTTCTTGCCTGTCCCATCCGATACGAGGCTACTTTCGTGAGATGGTACCTGAAACGTGAATAAAAATAACCTTACCTGGTTACTTGACAAGAACTACTCTATATGGTTATTGTGAATATCAACTATCAGCGGGAGATTTGCCGTATGTATCAAAATGCCGATGGAATCCATGTATATTATGATACAACAGTCTTGTTTGGGACCGCATGTGCAATATATTGCAGCAGCGACACCTAGCTGCAGTACCAATCAGAACCAGTGATTGCTGTCCTGAAGAAGGTGACAGACGGTCACCGAAACGTCGGATGTGAAAACCTTTGGTTGTTTAATAGAGATAGTACCTTCTTTGTGGCATCAAATGTGACTGTCTGCAACAGCTTACTACCCCGCACACGCATGGTATCATTTGCTGGAAAGAGACACAAATGGTTATCTTTCAACACACCCATTGAGAAGCCATGATAAGACCTTGTTTTACCTGTACATTAGCAATTTTCTGCTTGCGATCTTCTGGCTATCTTGGCCACGAGTATAAATACTTTGCGCTGCCAAAGTACATGCATATTCCAGTGTAAGGTTATTTCAAAATGTTCAAAACTTGTGTGTATTCTGTAAGATGTTTATAAGTAAGAGATCAATGATGGTCTTTGTTGGGTAAGTCAATACACGCCTATATTAGTCGATGTTGACCTACCCATCACAGCTATGTCTACGTTTATGTAGGCGACGGCTCTTTGTGTCAAGGTCTTGACGTGTTCCTGAGATGACAAAAGATATTGTAAGGCACAGTATTGTTCTCTGGTGAATGATTTCATGATTTCCGGATCCATTAGACAATAACCATTGTTTAATGTGCTTCCAGACTAAATTATACGATACACAATTGTAAAGACTAACATTGCAATTGCTCAAGAAATGAAATCGCGTACTTCTGCCCATTCAGTCGACCCTATCAAACCGAACTCCTCCGAACCCCAGCTTCCAAATATTATGCTTCTCTTCGGCCTCCAACTTCCTACAATGAAATATAGGAAAGAAAACTGAATGCCGAATGCCGACAATGGTTTACACCTTAACGTCCTCTCCTTTTTTACTGCATTGAAGATTATACTAGTAGTTGAATCACTGAACATAAGTGAAAATCTTTTCCAAAAAAAACGCATTAACTGATGGACAGAGAGTCCTACCAGACTTGAGGAGGGACCCGAGAACCCGCGTGATCTCCAGCATGCAGGCGGTGCCAGAGGCCGGGTCCACCGCGCCGTACACCCAGCCGTCCCGGTGGTTCCCGTATACAACGTAGCGATCTAAAACAGATTCGCAATGAATTTTTTTTTCTTACAACCCGTGCAACATACTGTAATCGAGCTGTTTTATTCGTTCTATTGGGGTTTGTAACACATCTTTACTGAATGTATTCTCAACGCCCCCTGGCGAGACTGCATGGCATAGCATTACCTGGTTCCACGCTACCCCTGATGGTACCGATGACGTTGTAGGTTCTCCTCAGTACGTTCTGGTTGGTCACCTTCAACTGCACCTTCCTGCGATTAACACAACAGTCTTGTACGACATTTGACCATTTTCGAAAGCATTATATGGTTCTACAGACTGGACAAATGTGCAAGCAAACAAAGGCACACGCACACAACAAGTAAACAAACAAACAAACAAACAAGCACAATCTCACAGCCAACCTGTTTGCATACGGTCCCACAAATCCCGGTCCCACAGAATAGTTAAACCCGAGCCCGCCCTGCCAGTCACTTGGAGCCACGGGACCGGACAAATATCTGTCAAAAATACAAGAACACTGTCAAACAAAACAAAACATAACAAACAACAGCTACGTCTATTTCTGTTCTATAATTTCTGACCAATCAAAATGTTTGTACTGGTCACCTCATGAGTGTAGCAGCGTCCTCCCATCCTATTGGCTGAGTGGGGATGGTTGCCAGCCCGGTCGCTGTGATGTTGTTGATGTCTGTACGGTAGGCGTATTCTGTGCACAAATGTATAATATCACTACAAGCTGCTCGTACACTTGATAAACATGAGGAAATATTATTGAATTACGGTGTATTATGTTGACCAACGTCACCATATCAGCACTGGAGATAAGGTTTTTACCAATACATGTGTGCGGATAGTGTTCAGCACTAAGGACAGGTGCTGGTGTGAGGATCATGTTTAGCACCAAGGACAGACATGTTAACTGGTGTGAGGATGGTGTTCAGCACCAAGGACAGACATGTTTACTTGTGCGTGGACGGTGCTCAGCAGCAAGGACAGACATGTTTACTGGTGTGAGGATGGTGTTCAGCACCAAGGACAGGCATGTTTACTGGTGTGAGGATGGTGTTCAGCACCAAGGACAGGTATGTTTACTGGTGTGAGGATGGTGCTCAGCACCAAGGACAGGAATATTTACTGGTGTGAGGATGGTGTTCAGCACCAAGGACAGGTGTGTTTACTTGAGTGAGGATGGTGTTTAGCACAAAGGAGAGGCATTTAACTTGCGTGTGGGTGATGCTTAGTACCGAAGACGGGACATTTATTTTTGTTTGCCTGGCGTTCAGCACTAGAGAGGCTTGCTTGCCTGTGTGTGGATTGCGTGCAATGCCAAGGACGGGTGTTGTGTTTGTGCCATCTAACATTTACTGACTAGAGTATCAGTTTTAGTTTCACTATTATCGTTTTTACCATTTGCAGGGTATCCGGGCGTCAAGAGATCTCCGTAATCGCCGTTCAGGGAGCCGCGTTGCACGCCGGATCCTGAGAGGAACCACGTCTCGGGGTAATTTGGCCCGTCAGGATTGCCGTAATCTCCCGGGTCGGAGAACACAATGACGCCCAGGGCTCCGAACTTTTCTGCGTTCACTGCCTGAGAAAAAAAGGCACTTGTCTAAAAGGTAACCAAAGCGATTTCAAGGCAGTGAAACTGCATTTTCGTCTTTAGTAATTTGAAAGTTGACTCAATCCACATTAATATCTGTGAGTCACAAATACGATGTCGCTAATGGAAAACGGTTGCTTGTTTGTTGCCGTAGGCTGGTTTTAGGCTATTTCTTGGTGGTACCGTTACTAAAAATAAAGTGACATCATCTAGCTTCTTTTGAGGCAATTATTTCAGACGCGTCAAGTGCTGTAAGAAATTGCAGTAAATAACGCATATACAATCATTGAAAATAACAATGGTTTGTTTGTTTGCTTTGTTTGTTTGTTTGTTTGTTTGCAAGAGTGAACTGACGTCACCTTGTCCCCACGACCGACGCCTCCGTACTTCACGATGACGATTTTTCCCGCCAAGTCCACACCCTGATCCACTAGGTACTGGAAATCTTCCATGGAGCCGAAATTGGCGAACACCAGGTCACCCTTCAAGAAGACAGCAAATCATTGAGTTTTCTCGCAGCCACAAATGTTAAGTTAGAGTTCATTAGTCCACCCAAGGTGTTATACTCGTCCAGCCTAACAAACTACAGCCCTGTTTATTCTTACTCAAACATATTCATCTATGTGGTGACCAACCCCTCTGTCCTGCCACTTGCTACATAATGTGATCCTGCCACATGCTACATACCATAATAACAACTGTCTATCTGGTCCAAGTCATTGGCCTTATTCGTTTTGAACGGAAGAGGAAGAAACGGGGCAAAAACAAAAAGCTTTCCTTCTTCGAAGGTAAGCATGATAACAAATAATTCTTGCCTTACCTCCGCTTGACCAGGAGGGGAGTAGGCGCTGTAATATGTAACGGCATCAGGGTCATTCTCAAACCCTTCCTCTATCCTCCTGCAGGTGAACACCACCGTCCCGTTGGCTGTCGTCATGGTAACGGTGTTTGGAGTCGTTGGATAAGACAAGGCCACGTCATATGGCGTCAACATCACGTGATCTAACCCATCAGCCAACCACCTGTCCCGGATGTATTGGGCACCTTCTAGGTCGTATGCAGTACCCGCGAGGCGCGTATTCTGGGTCATAAGCCTTAAAAATACACAAAAGATATGAAATAAAGGAAAAACATCATAAACGTGTTCGTTAATGATTGTTACATCATGAAAGTCATTATTGGAAGCTGTATTTTCTTTCAACACCATTTTTGTCACTGACCTCCCTCATGGAGTAATAAACAGAGAAGGCAAAGAAAAGGGACGCAAATCCCAAGTTAGACCTCTCACAAGTTGGCAAATAGCAAGTCACGAAGTCAGCTCTTTGGGAGCCCGCCCTCTCTAAACTTACTTAACCACCTTGTTGTACAATGTAAAATTTAAACATCTCAAAAGAATCCACAAAGAGTTGTTTGTACCTCTTCTTTGTCTTGTCGTTTGGATGACTAGCAAATACTTGAGTAAGGTACATAACGTTATAGATTACACAGATTAGATCGGAATACCAAGTAAACACATGGTAAGAAAGTCTGAAAAGACATTTCTGCATCGCACTGTACTTAAAGACATAGATAAAGATCTGTAAATGCTTTCATCATGTTCGTGAATACGTGAATAGCCAAGTGCTTTATTCACAACCACTTGTTAAACAACAGCAGACGGTTCGATGACCATCTGTCATCTTCATCCGGACAATTATGCACCAATAGCTTCATCACTGCACAGTGAATCATAATTGCCCTGATGAAGGTGACAGACGGTCATCGACCAAGTGGTTGTGAATAAAGTACTTTGTTATGATTGTTTAGTTGACGTTTTAGTCCTAGCACCACGAGTTGGGTGGGCCCAGGACTAATCAGTACCAGACCGGCGCCGCTCCAGGATGGCTCATTCCCGGCCAAAGCGCTCCCGCAGGCGGTCACGGCCGTGGCCAGGTATGAGTTGGCCTGATCGAGCCGGTTCTGTTACTGATTAAACGCCGTTCGTCGCCCTGGCGTGTAGGGGGACCGCTCATGGTACTAGGACTAAACCTAGCCTCTTGTGTAGACTTTCTTGCGGGTAGATATAGCGTTTAGTTCTACGTGCGCGTTCGGTGGGCGGGCCGAACAGCTATCCCACCCCACCCCACATACAGCTCTACCACCGAAAAGAAACGATCTAGATACCCACGTTCTTAGGATCTCGTAGAAACAGACGATGCCGCTAGAAAGTCTGCACAGGAGGCTAGCACCAAACTATGAACAAACAATAATTTCTTCCTTCAATTTTCAACTTGACGTAGAAAGTTGAAACATTCTCAAACGTACCGAAACGGAGTTGGTACCTAACAACACTCGTCGGTGGTGTTACTATATAAACAGTGACTATCATTCCACCGACAGACTGTATTATGTCTATACGTACAAGTTGTAAAGTATAGATTTATTACCGGAGATTTTCTTCAATATTGGCTGCGCTGATGTCGTCTATCAGGCGTTGACTGACCCAACTCGGCCCTTCATGGGTCAACATGTACTCCCAGCTGTCAGTAGGGAGGGTGGTGTCGCCTCGAGAAAAATACCCGATCAAAACTCCCAAACAAACTCCAAGAAAGGCTACGATCCCGACAACGGCAAGTTGCTTCCATGAAGAAGAGAGAAGAGGTCTCTTGTCGATCTTGTCTTTCCCGTCTTCAAAAGCTATCTCCATGGCGTCTAGATCTCATGTACTGGACGACGAAAAAACGCACCCGGAACCTGTGCAAATTTGTATTGTGTATACACACAAGCCCGTGCTATGTACCGTTTAACCCCTTTCACTCAACACATGATTTGTGAGGCTACACTGGGCGGTGCAAAACACGAGCAGGGGTTTACGCAGATTTTGAAACAGATATTTGTTGTTTCGGCAATTCCGCGCATAACAGAACAGTCAAAAACTTTGAATCCACTGGTCCTTACTTTGAGTCCAGGATGTTGATATTATAATGTTATCTGTCACCTCATTTATCATTGCGCTGCGTTTACAGGTCTTTTTCCTTTTTTTACAACATTTTACCGTGGAAATTTTCATTTGAAACGACGGGAACCGTTAAATAACAGTACCCTACACTCAACAAACTCGGACTTTGAACAGGTGCAAACATGCTATTATAAGTGGCAATGATTTATACTATAGCGGTCGTGGAGCAAACAAATTAGAAAAGAGAGAAAAATTGCACATCAACCGGCCTCTAACTGCCCGTCTTCTCTGACACCCATCAATACAATCCTGCCAGAAAGTCAGAAAACGTGTAATACGATCTTCCATCTGCTTTGACATGATGTCTAGTCTGCACTTCAGACAAATTCCGCTAGAGGTCACTCCTTCACGTTGCTATGGTGCATGCGTACATGCTAAGTCTCCCACTTCCGCATTCCTTGGGGCAAAACAGATGTAACTTGGTATTCTTGACTTTAACAAGTTTTAGACCCAGGGATAGGATGGGTGCTTATGCCAGTAGCTTCCAGGGAGATGCCGGCAGCCTGGTTGGGGAGCTGACTGACCCTAACCAACCGAACTGGATAACGGCCCACTCTGAAGCCTGTGCTTGTGAGTTAATTTATCAAGGACATTACGTAATGTCCTTGCATTTATAGATAATTTTGGCATTTCATCATTGCCTGAATGAACCTCCTTGATAATAACAACATGTACATAATGTGAAGGTCACTTTTAGTCACCTTAATCTCCTGGTTTTCTATTAAATCCCATAACTAATACAAATATGGGACTTAACGCCTACATGAGCAAGTGAGTGGAGGTTAAAATGACAGCCCCTCCCAGTAAGATTGTTTGGGCTTGTGTGTGAGTTGCCAAACATCTTCAGTGTTGCAGTGTTAAGTCTGCAAGACTTGAAGAATCCCAAAGCAGTATAGGTAAGGGGGTGAAGTCTGGCATTAGTGGATGTAGGTTTGCCCCATCATGTAACCCAAATACTAGAAATTCACCCATTGACATTAAAACTAACTAAAAGCTCATTTTCCTAAGTCTCATAATATGTTTGTTATATAGCAATAGATGCAAACCTTGTACAATTGTTATGCATTAAAGTTTACCATGTAATATAATGATCTATTTTTCTCCACCTCTCTGTTGTAGTGGACATCCCTGAGGTGGAACGTCTGTGGCAGAGATTCCAGCACCTGGGCTGTGACAGAACCACCGGAGTACTGGCACAGAATCAGGCACTACAGGTCACTCAGGATGTCTTCATTAAACAGGTAACACTTCTGTCATGGTCACAAGACAAGTGCATGAAATCATTTGTGAATCGATATCTAACGGTCCCTCAACCATAGTGGGCCCAAGCATAGTGGGACCTCCCTGTACTTATCATTATGAAGTCTGAATCCTCATTATTTCATTATTAGTAAACTTTTGCATGAGGGTTTGTAAATAAGGAGGTTCATGCTTTGAGGCTGCACATACCCAGCTTCAAAGATGATGGTCACCAATTAAGGCGTGTGACCTTGTATAATGCATGGTATGATGTGCTTTGTTTACGTCTGGGGGGCCTTTACCTTTGACACTTGGCATGTGCAGTCTTATTCGTGAACTTCCTTATTCTTTGTCACAACTTGAATGTTTGTATGGCACTTACGTAGCCTGAGTACCATCCTCCTGGTCTAATGGCCTGCTCCTATCCAGTACATTCTCATTGGTAACTTAAGAAGACTGTACTCAGGGTAGTTTACGTTTTTCTCTTTACTAGAGCCTACGTCAGGTGCCTCGTGATGAGAACGGAGGGATCACGTTCCAGACGTACTGTAACGCTGCCAAGTGGATGTCCATCGCCCAGGTAGAGGACAAGCTGAGAGGTAAGGCACAGATAGCCACTCATTGGTAGTGCATACTGCGCCTGCGCGCAATCCAGAACGTAATGTACATAGCAGGAATGATTTGTTGTGTGTTCAAATAATGCAATGGCCAAATTCTGATGTAATATTGACTGAACAACAACAGAAACCTTGGCTCCACCCAGGCGCAGTATGTTCTGTTTGTCCTCCCAATGACTGGCCCACGAGACCTGTAAGCAGGGGCTTCAGGACCTCCTATATCAATAATGTGAATGTCATGAACAGTGTAACTGTTAAATGATCATATAATAAGTTGAAGTCACTACTTCCATCCTGTAGGGGTGTTCAAACTGTTGAATCGTGGGAAGCCTCTGGACAGAAACATCATGAAGAGAATCCTGTCCAAGCTGTATGAAGAGGAAAGTGAGGTAAAGGCTTCATACTTGTGTGACAATTTTAGTCTTTTTCATATGATTTGTATTTGTATTGAATCAAAGCATTTAGCAAGAGGTTACTAGTAACTAATTTTGTGTTTGTGTTTAGGAGACCATCACTCGACTGGCAGACATCTTTGTGACCCAGATAGACACCAAGGAACAGGGTATGTTATGTTAGGTTCCATTTTGATTAGGCTTGACCCTATTTTGATATGATGTATTCTCTCCCTATGGTTCTCCTTGCCTGATTTTGTTATTTTGCCTGCACACTCCACAAGAAGACCTACTAACCACAATTAAGAAATGTGATGTGATGTAAAATGAGAATTTCCTTCAACTTCACCAGTTCTGACTGACCCCCCTGATGTGTTTGCAGGTGAGGTGGACGAGGAACAGTTTATAGAGTGGGTGAAGACCATGCCGTTTGAGACAGTCAACGCTCTTCTGGAGTTTCACATCATTCCTCCTGAGTTACAGGACACCCGGGCCTCAGCTTCACAGGTATCTAAAGTTAATACATGTACAACTGTATTTCTAAAAAGGTAAAGGTAGTCCTGTAGCCTTTTTCAGGCTATAGGGGCTGGTGTGGGTTGTTAGTCCCCTGTGTCGAGGGCACAGTATTGGAATGCATATCCCATCCCTCTCCTTCCACTGCCATGTACCACCCCAGTCAAAGTCAGGTACCCATTTCACACGTGGGTGGAATGAGGAAAGTTGCGCAAAGTGTCCTTCCAACTTCCAAGGACACAATGTCTAGCCAGGAAGGCCAGGGATAGAACCTGCAACCTCTAAATCTTGTGTCTGCTAGCCTATCCACTTGACACCACCATCTGCCACAAAGTTAACCATATTGATGTGAATATTCATTCTCAGGCAACCTCCAGAACCAGTATAGACGAGCTGGCTGTGCCTGTGTCAGAGGAGACCCTGCAGCAGGTAGCCTCTAAGGTACACGGCAGGGACTGGGTCCTGTTCGCCAACAAGCTGGGCTTTACTCAGAACGACCTGACGGGCATCAGCAAGAAAGTAGGGAAGAACACCTACCAACAGGTAATGTGTCAAGTGTTGTTTGATTTGTTGGTTGGTTCTCTGATCTTTTAACCTGATTGCCAAACCTATCTTTGCTGTCCTCTCTGTAATCACGTTGCAGATTTTTGCAGGAAATCAATGGACAAAATCAGAGTGTAAAGGTATGGAAAGAAATGTCATGAAACTAAGCTTAGAATACCAGCAAAATTTGCCCCTCAAGATGAAGGAAATAGCATTTTTGAGGGTCAAGATTTCAAAATTTTCCCAGGAACCCCCCTATGAATGATTGTACCTTCGGCACTTGACATGACGTTACACCAGACATGATGGAAAAAATTCATGTTGGCTAGAACATGTACAATGATTCAGGAGGGCCTGCATGGGGGTAGTGATTACGTAAAATTTGATTTTAAAAGCTGATTACGGACAATTACACATTACAGCTAATGTACTGATTATGTATTACAATGATTTGAGTGGATTATGAAGGTTAAAAAGGTCTGATTACACCTTTCGCAAAAAGGGTATGCAGGCCATCATTCAGCTGTTTGTCTGAGAGTTGTTTGAAAAGAGATTCATTGATTGATTGTTTCTCCCCAGGTGTTGGAAATGCTGCACACCTGGCAGAGAAGAGAGGAGCAGGCTGCCACCTGCCGGGTGTTAGACACAGCGCTGCGAGACGGAGACTTTATCGATGTCGCAAACGACATGTTCTTATAGCTGCAAAACTGTCAGGCATGCATGTAGACATTCCAGTTATAGCTGCACAACTGTCAAGCATGCAGACATTCCAGTGTGTAATATGTAAAAGCTCCTAGAAAACCATGGTAAAGGCAACCTGTCGGCTTTACATTTACAGATGTTGATGTCAATGTTATAGATAATTGTAGATGATGTGTACTATATATGTTGTGTTTGTAATGTTTGACAAAGTCTCCAAGAAGATACAAAATCAATGTATTTACTAAATGGAGAATAGATTAACAAGCTGTGTCATTACAAAGAAAGCAAGAAAGTTGTAAACAGTATGTTAGAGTAAGATATACTGTCAGTACATGTACAATGAGCTAGACTTATTCTACAAGATGAAGTATGTTGTCACATTAATGTTATTTATTCTATTTGATATTTTGCTGTTTCATATGTGTTTCCTGTCCAGTGCACTACCTTTATTGTATATAATTAATTAGGTATATCTTTTCATCACATAACCATATCCCTTTTTATACTTTTCTAACTTACTTGTAGATATTTATGTCAACATCTGACTTACTGGTATTCAGTCCATAATGTTAGTAACTTGTAGACCTTCGCCCAACAGAGAACCTGTATTGTACCTTACCATACTAAGATAATCCTTTCAATTCATTTAATTCAAATGAAAAAAAAATTGACTTCTTCTGAAAGAAAATCCTGTGAAAACAGAATTCTTATCATACTTCCAGCACAGAAAAAAAATAGCATGTTGTGCAATGGCAGCAGTGCATTGTTTTAAACTTTACCTTAGACTTAGTCAGTCATACAACTACTTAATGTCATACCTGGGATGTAATAATGTTTGATACAGGTGTTCCGACCCATGTGATAACTTGGGTTATCACATGGTGTTCTAAGTGTTAGACATAATCATTGGTATTGATGTTACAATTTTTTCTTGTATAGGAACTAATTTTCTCAACTTCTAGCACATTTCGAACTGAAAAGTGTGTTTTCTCGAGTGGACATGACATACAAAACAAAATGTAGTGTAACATTGTATTCTATGAAGAGAATTCAATGTACGACATGACACATGTTTGTCTATTTAGCACTGTCCATGTACTTCTGCTGCAGCTCCTGTAGATCCTGTAGAACAGTGCTGGTCTTCTGTAAGATCTGATCCCTTTCTGTGGAATCAGTCAGTTTCTTCTGTAACTGGTCAAGCTGCTGGTCCAGTCTGGAAAGATGCAGTGTAAAATAAAAGTGTGCATGGATGGTTGGCAGTCATCTCATCAATTGGTATCAGAATATAAAATGATTTACAATATTTTAACCCATCAAAAGCAGAATGTTTAAACATGGGGTGCAAAAAAATCAAGGATTCAACATTGCCACATTTAAGACTGAGCATATAGGTACATTTAAAATATTTCAGTTGCTCATCTCACCTGACGTCCTCTCTCTGGAGAGACAACAGTTCAGAACGTCTCTGCTTTATTGTCAGGTCCATCTGTAAAAAAATAGATAATACAGTATATATTTCAAGTCTAATTATGAAGCAGTAAGGCAGAGTAGTTGAATGTTAAAGTGATGACACACCATACAACATACTGAGAATCTTCAAATGACAAAGTATAAAAAGATTACCTTACTTCTAAACAAGGAAATTCACAAAACCACAGTTCAGTCTAATGTTTAACTGAGCCAATATTGGGCTTTCTGGCAATCAAATATCTCAAACAAGTCGAAGGACTACAGGAAATATCAGGGTGACAAAAACTGACCCTCCTCAGCCTGGACTGGTCAAACTTGTACTTATGTACAAGGTCAATCTGTAGGGAGAAAAAGACAAGTTTTTTAAACACTTCAAATTTTTAAACTTGGATTAACCACAGCTTATCTTACTATAAATTCTAATGAATAAGATTCACACACAGATACACGCATGCACACACACACACACACAGAGAGAGAGAGAGAGATACACGCATGCACACACACACACACATACACACAGTGACACACACACACACAGAGTGACACACAGTGACACACACACACAGTGACACACACACAGACACACACACACACACACAGTGACACACACACACAGATGCACGCACGCATGCACACAAACCAACCCCACACACAGATCCAACAGGCTATCACTCCCTTGTCTTGTAGGCTATTTGCTCAGATAACCATACTTTCAATACTAGCCAATCTAGTATGTCTTATAGTAAGTTATACTCACTTTCCTCTGGATGGCACCTATGACCTTGTCTCTGAACTGTGTCATCATTTCCTTGCATATAGCTGACTCTGTCAAGTTTCTGTGATGACACAACAAGAGTTTGTATGTCATCAAACATGAACACAACAGTTGTGTTCAAAATTTGTATGAAAAGATAATACATTTGTATTTGCAAAGCACATGAATAAACTTAGCCTTCACGGATGGTCTAGCCTAACAGATACAAATGTACTGCTCTTTTTATTCTCAGTACATACATGTATTCATATATATGGTAACCAGCCCCTCTAACTCTCCCCTGCCACTTGCTACATAATGTACCCATTACCACAGGGTCTCTGCAACAGCACTAGTTACCAGTGACAGCAATTTGATCCAGGTCATTGACCTCCATTGTTTGGAGAAAAAGGATAAAGAAGCAGAAAAAGAAGATGAGACAGCAAAAATAATTAGGTAAAAATATAATCACTTTCTGTGAAGAAACTCAAAATGATAAACCTAGGGATACAAATGTTGAAAAGTGTGTGCTTACCCACAGGAATCCTGGTACTGTTGTGTCAGGTCCTCTATCATTGTTAGCAGGATATCCAGGTCGGACAGGTCACCTAGGTTACGTTCAAGTCCGCCTGTGTTCCATTGATACACAGTTTGACCTGGTACGAAAAGAACATCAAGATATGTTAGTACTCGTATTCTATTATCTAACTTTATGCCATACCTGAACCATGATAACGTTTGATATGGGTGTTCTAGTCATAGCTAAATTCCAATTTTGTGTACAGGTAGACCTTAAACCTTCATTTTGCTACATAACAGGTGAACTTTATTCGAACAAAGGGTGGTGAGGTTTAGTTTACTCCTTAGTCTGAAAAGAATCATCAACAGTGTTACCAATTTACACTAACTAAGGCCACACCAATTTAATTTGTTGGTTCTCGGATTTTTTCAGGAAAAATATGAAGCGACAGGGTGAAAAAAAATAAAAATAAAAACAGGTCTAGGCATCCTATTATAGGCTTAAATGCTATGGAATGAGCCATGAAGTCAACACAAAAGGCTGGGTTAAAATTTAAACATTGAATTTTGAACTTTTAATCAAACCACTGCAATGATAGATGGGAAAACTGTAACAACTAGGAAGAAAAGGACTTTCCTCAACTGTTGGGGGCAAAACATGAGCATTTTTCAGTTGATTCAGAAAAACGAAGAGGCGAATCCGAGAACCAACAAATTAAATTGGTGTGGCCTAATTGAGGGTTACACATCCAGGTAACAATATTCAAAGACAATTCAAATTTCATTACACATGTACTGTATTATTTCCAGATGTTTTGAGAGACACCTGTCACTCCACTTCTGAGTCACTGAAGAGGAGTGAAGGATTTCACTCACAACTAGTGCTGCATACCGGTTCACTGGACTTGGATCCGGACTTGTAAGAATGTTTAGGTTCAAGTCCAAAAAAACCTAAAAGTCAAGAACCGAGTCCGGACTTATTACCATGAAAGACCATTTTGCATACCCCTTTTCTTTCCAAACCACCTAAAACCTTCTTTAGATTCCAAAATGATGATGAGATTCCAAAATCTTAGCTGCAAAATGAAGAAAACATTGTAATCGGGCATCGTCAAGTGTCGGCCTCCATGTTATGTGACCAAAGTTTCACCCAGACAACATTGCAAGGTTGCCAACATGCAATTTTGTATATGCCATGGGTTTAGGTCCGGACTTACAAGTCAGGGAACTGAACCTAAACCTCTGGACTTGAATCCAGACCTGAACCTGAAGTTGGGTTTAGGTATGCATCACTACTCAGAACATCTGGAAATAATCTCCGTAATTTGTCCAGTAGAAGAGTTTGAAAAAATTGTCCATATGAAAATGTATTAAATAAGTGAAGATGTCACCTTTGGTGTTGTTACCAGTGCCTGCATGGCGAGGAGGTATGGGAGGTCGTTTGGAGACGACACGTCTGCTGACTCCACTCACCAAGTTGTTGGCATCCCCCTATTCAACAACAAAAAAATATGGCACACAAAATATGTGGCATCAAATGGCCGAGTGGCTGGTCAAGCAGACAGGAGATCAACAGGTCATGGGTTTGATTCCTTACATTCCTACTCATAGCTAGACACTGTATCCTTGCTATAGGCACGACTTTCCTCACTCCACCCAGTTGTAAAATGGTTACTTAGTACCTGACTTCAGAGGTAAAAGGCAGTGGAAGGAGAGGGATGGGCTCTGCCTTCCAATACTGTACCCTAGACACAGTAGATTAACAACGTAAGTTTGTGGGACTACATTTACCTATTTTTTTACGAACTATAATTAATGTACTATGTACATGTATATGTGTGGTAGTAACATGATAAAAAGTACAAATAAACCTTCCAAATGCTTTAGCAGTCTATGGTACAAGCTGCACCAGCAGGAACATCTCACCTGTCCTTGGCTCCTTGGTGTTTTCATCCCTCTGTACCCACCAGATGAACTAGACGAACCAGAAGACTCTTCTGTCCCAAACCCTCGGGGCACGGGCTGGTTCTCATCAGACGAACTGGACACTCCATTCCTGCTGTCTGAACCTGGGCATACACAGTGGAATCTTTGTACTTATATCAGTGTACAAAATACTTTTTTGAACCAGGTTGCCCAGTGGGCAAATTTTTCAAAGCAGCACAAAATGCGCTCAGAGTTTTCTATGGCACTTTTGCCCAGTGGGCAACCTACAGCAAAAATTAGGTTGCCCATCAGAATTTTAGGTTGCCCCACCTATTAGTTATTACTTTCCTCAAATTAAGTAATGTTACATACATAAACCTTTGACAATATTTCTAACAGCCTTTAGTGAACTGATAGTAGTAATAGCCATTAATACCTAAAATTAAAAAGTATATGCCTGATACAATCACAGTGGTGCAAGCCAAGTGGGCATGATTTGGGGGGGGGGGAGCATTCTTAAAATTCAGGTAGCACACTGGGCTACTTTGATTCAAAAATAGGTTGCCCCAAGTAAAATTTGGTTGCCTGGGGCAACTGGGCAACCAGGTATTTTGCTTACTGTTACATAGAAATAAAATAAATAAAAGGAGACTTGATGCCTTCGACAGCAAGTGTCTAAGGAAAATCCTGGGCATTAGATGGGATGACTTTATCTCGAATGATAACATCAGACTTCAAACTAAGCAGCAACCAGTGTCCTCCACCATCTGCAAACGCCGGCTCAGCTGGTTAGGACACGCTGTCAGACTACCACCAGTCAGACTAGCCAACCAAGTCCTACAGTGGTTCCCAGAAGGACGGAGAAGGAGGGGGCGCCCGAAGATGAACTGGCGACAGACAGTGGAGAGGGACCTTCAGGCAGTCAACATGAGCTGGAAGGAAGCCTTGAGGCTGGCTGCTGACAGAGGAAGCTTGGCTGCTTTGACTGCCTCATGCGTCACGAGACGCGGGAGCCCCTAAGTCTAAGTAAGTACATAGAAATGGACTGGTGCTAGTAAGGCCAGAGTATCACCTTGTTTCATTGCCATTGCCCACATCTTTTGTTTGGAAGTACAAATGTACAATGCATAATTTCACACAATGTAAACTAAACTTACCATTTATCCCTGTAACCCTCCACCATTCTGTAGATCGTTTGGACACACGTCTGCAAAATACAACATTGAAACATATTTGTTAAGAATTTTCCAACATCACAGCGACATCTGAGAAGGTTAACGTAATGACAAAAAATGCCACATTGGGTGATTCTCAAATCATTTCTGAATTAATATACGGAATCACCTTGTCCTTCGCATGCTGCTTTCTGAAGACACAGTTGACTCCTCTACATGTACATCTTGCACTGGTGTCGTCTGACTACTCTGTCTGGTCTTCTCAGCTTTATTCTTTGAAGACAAGGAACTTTGCTGTGTCTGTTGCCTCTTCTTCTTCCCCGTTGTTCTAGTGGCACCCAAATCTGATTCATTTGACTGGGAACTCTGTTGTCTCTGCCTTTTCTTCTTTTTGGTGGTTCTAACTGAACTCGAGTCAGAGTCTTCTGGCTCGATACTCTGTTGCCTTCTCTTTCTGGTGGCTCCGACAGATCTAGAGTCCAAATCCTCAGATTGAGAGCTCCCCTTTTCCCCACGTTTCTTCTCGGTAGTTTCAACAGAACTTGAGTCTGACTCATCTGGTAGGAAACTCTGTCTTCTCTGTCGTTTCTTTTTCCCAGTTGTTTGAACCACACTGGAATCTGACTCTGAGACTGCTGGCTCGACGCTCTGTTGTTTCTTCTTTCTGGTGGTCATAGCGGACCCCAAGTCTGAATTGTCTGGTGGGAGACTTGATGATTGTTGTTGTCTCTTCTTCCCTGTTTTTCGGACAGTGCTCGAATTTGAGACTGCTGGCTCAGTGCTCTGTTCTTTCTTCTTTCTGGTGGTCGAAGCGGAAACTGAGTCAGAATCGTCTGGCGGGAAACTTGATGACCTCTGTCGTCTCTTTTTCCCCGTGTTTCGGACAGCGCTCGAGTCAGATTCTTCAGGCTGGGAGTTCTTTTGATTCTTCTTTCTGGTGGTCGTAATGGAAGCCAAGTCTGAATCACCTGGTGGGAGACTTGATGATTGTTGTTGTCTCTTCTTCCCTGTTTTTTGGACAGTGCTCGAATTTGAGACTACTGGCTCAATGTTCTGTTGCTTCTTCTTTCTGGTGGTTGTAACGGACGTCGAGTCTGAATCGTCTGGCAAGAAACTTAACAATCTTTCTTGTCTCTTCTTTCCAGTGCTTCTGACAGCATTTGAGTTGGAGCCTTCACACAAAAAAAGGGGGAAAAAAGGGGGGGAAAAACTAATCATGAGTACTATTTGTGTATACATTGTACTTTTTATATGACTCTTTATTTTTGTGCATGCAATCAGACCAGCTGGGCCCTGGTTTGGAAATGTGACCTGCTAGTAGTAAGCAGAAGTCTTTGACTTGTGTTTGGAGAGGTTCAGACTTACCAACATCTGGAGAAGCCTTCCACCACTCCTGGCGAACCTTAGGTGCACGGCCACTTTTCCTCCGCTGGCTGGGGTCTACATCTGGCACTGAAGCTGTACAACAAAATCCAGCTTAAAACACTGACTTTTTCAGTTTGGGTTGAATAGTTTTGTATAAAGTATCCTGAAGGTTTTCTAGTCTACTTGAACTACTTACCCCTAAAAAAATCTGAATGGAAAACTGGCAAGTAAATCTAGGTCTTAGGCAATTTTTATGTTTTCAGCAGCCCTTCAGAAAAGTACACGGTAAACCTTTAATGTGGATTTTCCTCACCATGAATATCTGTCAGTGTTGGTTCCTCTGATTCAGGTAAGCTCCCAGGCTGTGGGCTTGTCTGCACCACTGAAGCAGGACTGCCCTGGATACTGGGGGACTGAGACACCTTAGAACTCACTCTTGTATCGGGCTCACGCTGAAAAAAATGAAGATAAGGCCCAGGGTTGGACAAGTTTTCAAAAATACACTTGCCCCATCGGGCAAGCACATGGTCATTTCTACTTGCCCGAACCAACTTTTTACTTGCCCAATGCAAAATATAAATGACCTATTTCATACCTTTTTACCGCAAATAAATTTTTTTAGTAACCTCAGCATTTTATATATTGTTCTATGCTTGACCAATATTTTCCAAAGTAAGGAGGTTTGAGACTTGCAAAAGGTTCCCTGATAAAAAGTCATATTATGGGAATACATTATGGGAAAATGATGAGAGATTTTGCTCCAAACACTGGGGCATAATGACACATCCCAAAAATTTACTTGCCCAATCAGGCAAGTACAGGGGGATATTTACTCGCCCGAACTGTACTTTTACTTGCCCTGGGCAAGTGGGCAATGGGACTTGTCCAACCCTGAAGGCCACACCAATTTAATTTCTTGGTTGACGGATTCCCCCGCTTCATTTTTTTCTGATTTGCAAATAAAAATAAAAATTCAGAATCAACTGTAAAATGCTCGTATTTTGCCCTGAACAGTTGAAAACAGTCCTTTTTATCCTAGTTGTTACAGCTATTCCATCTTTCAATGCAATGGTATCATTGAAAGTTCAAAATTCATTGTTTAAATTTTGAGCCAGCCTGGTGTGTTGGCATTATGGCTCCTATTGTACCATTTGGGCCCATAATAGGATGTCTAGGCCTGTTTCTATCTTTTATTTTTTTTTCGCCCGCCCGCTCCATTATTTTCTAGAAAAATCCGTTAACCAAGAAATTCAATTGGTGTGGCCGAAGTAGCATACATTTTATAGCAAGAAGATATCTATGATCTAGTTTCTGTGACATCCAGACCCTTAGCTGTATACAGATGTATTTGTTGTCAATTGTATAATATACATTTTCCTGGGAGTTTAGAAATCTATTGTTTTAACGTTGCGGCATCGTGAGTTTTAAAACAATTTGTACATGATATGTTCACACAAATGATTCAGCCTGTGGCTAGCAATGCAAGGTGAAACATACCGGGTACTCTATACTATAACCTAACATTATGCTGTTTTTCCTTGTACCAGTTCTGGTGAAATAGGCCATTAGTAGTTACTATCTTCTACTATAACGTTATAGCAAATATTTCAAGACTATTTATTTGTGTACGTACCTTATCATCATCATCATCATCATGCTGACTGCTGGCTGGTGAGCTCCAATCTTTCACAATTTTGAAAGGACGGATGGTCGTCTGCCTCATTCTGCACAGAAGAAAAAAAAAACATGTTTACTCACATATATTTGGATCAACAAGATATTAAAGTTGACTCAAGGACTGGTTTACAGTTGCAAAAACAACGTCTCCCGCCATTTTTTAGCTCGCAAAAACACGCTACACCTGTACAGCAAAGCCAAATATCTACTCCAAAAACTGTTCCGTCTCTAGATAAGGAGATCATCTTACGCTATGCCCCTAGCAGGCCGCAGTCCTGGGCGGGGCTGCTTTCTGTCGGGCCAAAACGTGAAAACGCCGGCATCTTCGGAAGCAGAGGCCGCCATTTTCCCGCTTTTTGAAGTTGACGCTTCTCGCGGTCGGAGATCTCGCGAGAGTTGGAGTCGTACCTAATTTGTATGCAGATTACTACACACTTTATTTTTTTCAACAAAAAAAGAAGGCTTAGCGTGATCATATTCAGGCAAAAAGTCTTTGAAATACTCCATTGACTTTTGGGATGGATGAAGACCATATTTATGGGGATTAACTGTCTCATTTGTACTCCTTGATCGTACCTAAATTTATGCATCCGGTTTAAGCGTGAGTAAGGTCAGAGGTCACAAATCATGCTGTAGTCACATGCTTGGTGTACAAGTTAGTTGTGACCGATTTGACCGAAAAAAAACTTGGAATTTGTACTTTGATCGTGTCCACATGGATCGATCATCGTGTTTATTGTTGTTCCTGACCATTGGAATCACGTGTGTGGCTGCACAGACGTGTGGATATAAGGTAAACACTTTCAAACTTCAGGGCGGGATGAAAAAATTATGATGCGATCATGAGTTAGTTTTATAGCTAGAGACACGTAGTTAGTTTAATACAACAAGTAAAAGTTATGAGGATAGTGGCTGTATGCTGGTAAACATAAAATCTGCAGAAGCTAGATAAAAAGATATTAATTGTGCAGTGTTGAAGACAAGTTAACACTGTGTACAGCTTAGATAAACCTTCATATATTCGTCTAACCTTCATCAACGTAACTTACACGTGTACCAGTAGCTACTCTAGTAGACATATAGTGATTATTTCAATATTTACACTTACAACTTATGTTTCATGTATTTTTTTGAAGTGCATATTTGATAAGTAGTCTAGGTTTGCTTAGTAGTGACAAGGAGGTTTCTCTTTTTTAAACCTCCTTGGTAGTGATTAGAGACACGTCATTATGTAGCAAGTGGCAAGACCTACTAGTAGTGGGGGGGGGGGGCTGAGCAGCATATTTGTGTTTGAATAAAAAAAAACAGAGCAGTAGTTTGTTGGGCTAGACCATGGGAA